CAAAAGAGAATATATGAAATAGTAATATAACTGAATCAATAATTGATGTCTACTCATCTCACAAAACACTAGGCACAGACAGTTTTACAACTAAATTTTACCAAATGGTCAAATAGTGGATAACATCAATTTTATACAAAATATTACAGAGAACAGAAAAAGAAAGCTTTCCAAGACATTTTGTGAGGCTGTTATAAACTGCTCTTGAGCGGTACTACCATCTCCTAGGACCACAGCCCTAAGCAGGGAGATGGAGATGCCCCAGTGCTGACCTGACCCTACTGTGGGTTCCATAAATTTATACGCAGTTGTCCTTTGTATCTTGGAAGCAAGCAATTCCAGGAACATGGGAAGCTGTTTTATCCCTGAATCCACTTTGCTTAGACTGTAATCATTTCCCAAGTAGACTTGTAGGACTGTCTCCAGCTTCCATCTCCTTCACCTGCTGTTCTCTGTGGATGGAGTCACCCAGGCTCTGGGACACTCGATTGTAGGAATGCGATGGACAGTAACGCTTGGGAGAGAATAGTGAAATCATAAGCAGGCACTTCTGACAATGTTCACACCAGTCAGCCAAACATCTTACTCTGTACATTTGAATGGTCTCCCCAGTTATGGAAGACACAGCAGTGTTTCTTGGGCAAGCAGCAAAGACACGGAGCTACAGAATGTCTTCCTCCCTGACCCCACAGCCTTGCTCCCAACCACTCAGTCTTCTCTGATCCTGCTCCCACTCTCCCCCTGAAGGAAATGATGTTTGTAACCACAGCTGACCAACTAATAAAAATGGCCGGACATTAATGGCTATAGGACAATTAGATGCTCTGATAACAGTGAAAGGGAAGTTAAATGACCTATAACACAGCTTCGTGGGTTTTCAGAAGGAGAGTTAAATTTATTATTGTATATTACACACCAGTGTTTTACAGGTCAATGAAGTTGAGTCTTCTTCTATAAATAAACTGCAAGGAACCTGTTCTCTAATGCATGGTGACTTAGAATGACATGATACTTTGCTCTGGGCTGTGGAGATGTTACATTGCATGGAGATTAATGAACACAGAGAGGTCAATTGGTCTTTGACCTGCAGAAGGAATAGGAGCTTCGCACTCAGATATTTTCCCAGGGCATCATTTCACCTTTGAATCGCTGAATAGGTCAGTGCATTCTAGGGCAAAACCACATCAAGCTCACAATGCCCACACTTGCCTAAGAAATGGATAATGTTGAGCATGTGTGCCTAGGAGGATTGAGGGGAGGGTGACAGAAATAGGGATTCTCATAGGAGATCCTGACTTGCAGAGAAGTCAATGAATGCACCTTTGGTATCTTGTGTTGGAGGTGCTGTTGACACATCCTAGTGAAAATGCCCAGCAGACAGAGGAGTGATGGGTGGATGAGAAGATAAACTTAGAGATGCAACGTGAGACCACTGCATCCAGACAGCACTGGAGCAGAGAGTGACAACATGTGCATTGATTTTGTTAAAAAAAAGGAGCTTATAAATATTTAGATTAGTCACCCAAGTATGTTATAATATAAATCACGTGTCCCTGGGGTGGTGGGGTTGATAGAGGCAGTGATGTCAGTATAGGAACGGCCTTGTGGGGACAAGGGACGTCCCTCCTCCTCTGCTCATGCTCACAAGGGCCCTGACATGGTGAACCTCTTATTCCTGTCTTGACCCTGCTGTGGGCTCCAGGTTCCTCTGCTGTGTGACCCTCTGTCTCTTGGGGGCAGGCTACTCCTCAGAAAACCAATGAGTTTCAGTGTGCGTGTGTGTGTGTGTGTGTGTGTGTGTGTGTGTGTGTGTGTGTGTGATGATTATATTTGTTTTTCTCCTTACTGTTCCAAACTTCTGTCTCCATAGATCACATAGGCGCTGGAGTCTCCCAGTCCCCCAGGCACAGAGTCACAGAGAGAGACTAGGCTGTAGCTCTTAGGTGTGATCCTATTTCTGGTCATGCTCTCCTTTATTGGTCCCGACAGACCGTGGGGCAGGGCCTGGAGTTTTTGATTTACTTCTTGAACAAGATGCACCAGACACATCAGGGATACCTAATGATTGATTCTCTGCTGAGAGGGCTGAGGGATCCTCCTCCACTCTGAAGATCAAGGCTGCAGAGCGTGGGGACTCGTGCTTGTATCTCTGTGCCAGCAGCTCAGCTACAGTGTGGCACAATCACCCCCTTCCTGTTCACGAGCTCCTTATTTCTCTCTCCTTGCAGCTTCTAGAGACCCTAAACAAGACATTCTTTGCTCTTCATTCCCCAAGAAAAATAAGTAGACTTGGACAACATCTGTCCTTCGGGTGGAGAGACAATAGATTCACTCCTGAAATACTGTGGCTGTGAATGTTGATGGATGGCAATAATTATGACTCGTTGGGTTCTAGGAGTCCCAGAGCCAGCTCAACCCTCCAAGGCAAGGATTGAATGTCCTGGACACAAACTGTCTTCTGTAGGATTTAAGGTCACTGCCCACGTTCATGCCTCTGGCTCTGCTCTGTGCAGTGAACAGCGTCTCCTCTGCCTTTGTTGTCCCCATCTGGAAAGTTTACCTCCTCAGGCATATTCTTTCTTCTAAAGCTTCTTCTACCCCTGTCACTTGGTAACTTTTCTGCAAACAGTACCAGGCCTGTCTTCCTGTTGAAAGTAAATGCCTTTACTACTTTTGTGGTGGTTCATTGATAAACACAATGTTGATAATAATAAGACTTCATTTCCTCTGCTCATTTAAGCAAACCCATTTCCTCTATCTTGTTTTCATTTTCCCACTGCTCCAGTCATGAGAGATAGACTCAAGCACACTTTCACAACTTCTCCAGTTTCCTCTGATTCCCTGAGTAAATCTAATTTCTAGTGACTGAGTGTTTTATTTGGTGCCTTAGCTTTGATATGAAATCATTTCCCTGAGCTCTTTAACTCAAGAAGAAGGGATATTGTTTTATAATAATGCCCCTATTCCTTTTTATTTGCTACATCATATATTTTTATGTATTATTTGTTATGAATAATTATATTGTGATGACACCTTGCAGCCATCTGTCGGTGAAGCTGCAGTTTGTGTCTGTGAAATCTACAGCCATGGTCAGAGCTGATATGAACAGGGATCGTAGGTTCCTGGGAGTCCTCAGAGATAAGCCCATGCTCCAGGACTGGGATTGAATGTCACAGACTCCGGCATGACAGAGGTGCCCTGAGCCTTGCATGGTTGGTAAGGGGAATGACAGTCTCCCCAAATCCACTGATCAGAGATATGGGGGCTCAGGACTCCAGATTTCTTTCCCCAGGGAATGAGTGTCCTTGGAAGGGAAATTTCCTGGTCTTACTTTAATTGTGACATCAGCAAAGCACTCCTTGCTCTGTTGCCCTGTGTCTCCTATGACTGAGTAAGGCCAGGGCACAGGGGGAATTCCTGGTCCTTGGAATGCCATTCCAGGGGCTTCCTTCCTAGACCTAGTCCCAATTTTGGCCACTTTTCTCCACACGACCCTGGCAGATACAGCTTCCTCATTATACTATATTGCACCACTGTTTTCTTATCTCCCACAACTCCTCTACTTCTTCCAGAATCATCTCTTCCCTCCCAGCTGCTCAAATCATCAGACATACGTTGTGCAAGTTATTCATTTCCTATAGAATGTGCTTTGCTTATCTTTATTCCATCCATCCTTATTTTCCCCGTTAGGTACTGTTTCCTCCATGATTGCTTATTTCCTTTAAGATGGCCTATATTTTTCTTATACTCCAATTTTACTTTTTATTCAGAAACATTTCATCCCATCTTGAAGATAATCTCATTCTCTCCTCAGTCTTTTGCTGATCTATATTTTGGAGGTAACATTGTCATTTTGCAGGGAGGGTGTATTTTTGTTTATCTTTAGTAATGGAGGTAAAAGAACCTACTTACACTTCAACTCCTGTGGTTTTCTTGTTATTTGAGACTAAATATTATTATCTACCATTTTTCCCATTCTATCCCTCTCCCTTTCAGAGGATAGTTAAGGAAGAAGATATCAGTTGGACTGTAGCTGCCAGATAATGTGATAGTAGTTAAGTAGAATGAAGGTGAGATTTTACACATGGTAACTCAAAAGAATAGAATCAGGGTAAGAATTAGTGTTGGGAATAGGGTTTAAGGAAGTTGACCATAAAACTTGCAGAATACTACTTCGGAATATCCTCCCTGCTGACCACGTAGACGCTTCTCAGCATCCCTTGGGTCATTGCAGAAGAAAACAGTGATGAAACTTCCGTTATCGGCCACAAGATGTCACTGTGATGCAACTGAGATCTAAGGGGCTCTGGGGAGAGTCAGGGAAAGCTGCCTGGGAGGAAAGGGTTAAGAAAAGCTTAGGCATGGATCCTATATTAGGCAGATGCTGAAGAAGTTTTCAGTTATTGCTGGGCTCCCTTCAGCTATGGGAGAAGTAGGAGGTCCCTCTAAACTTTACTGAGATCCACAGTTGAAGGAATTGGGCGAGGCAGCCTTGACGTCAGGGGCAGGTGCACAATAGAGCAGCTGTCTCAGAGGAATGTGGGAAACCAAGGGTGTGGGGTACACCCTAAACTCAGTGCATGGCAGCCACACCCCGTCTCCCCTGTAGGCCATGCTAAGCAAGGCCTCTGAGAGGAGTAGCTGACCCTGCCTGAACCAAGTCAGAAGGGACCCTGTACCAGGGAGAATCTGCAGGGGTGGCAGGCAGTGACATCCCAGGCAGATCCCTCTGTCCATTGAAGAAGAGCCTCTGAGCTCCCTCGCTTGGTCCTGTGGATCAGAGCATTTAGCTGTGACAGCCCCCTCTTGGCCTGACCCTGCCATGAGCCTCAACTTCTTTTGTGTGACTATTTGTCTCCCGGGAGCAGGTGAGTTCTGAACCCAACTAGAAACCTCAGCCATGGGTTTGCAAAGTCCCAGCTCCAAGCCTTTCCCTTCACTTTGTGGATCCAGGTTACTCCATAAGCCTTGTCTTTACCTTATGTCTGCCTCTGCTACAGGCCCCATGGATGCTGCAATCACCCAGAAGCCAAGATACCATATTATACAATCAGGACAGGAGATGATCCTGGAATGTTCTCAGAATATGAAACATTTTTCAACGTTCTGGTATGGACAAGACCTAGTACAGGGGCCAAGGCTGATCCATTATTCTATTGGTGTTGGCAGCACTGCCAAAGGGGATATCACGGAAGGGTGCAGTATCTCCCAAAAGAAGAATGAGGATTTCCCCCTGACCCTGGAATCAGCCAGCATCAACCAGACCTCCCTGTTCCTCTGTGCCAGCAGTGAATCCACAGCGCTGCACAGCCAGCTGCTCTCTGCACAAAAAGGGCAGCCACGAGCATGAGGGACACTCCTTCTTGAGGCCCCTGTCTCCCCAGGGGAACCACTGCCCCTGTGAAACTCTCACCAGACTTCCCAGCAAGGGGATCTCAGCCTGAGGGGCCCTGTGCAGCCTGAACCTTAGTGTGAAATGAGGTCCTTCATCATGAAGAGTGCGCATGTGTGTGTGCGTGTGCATGTGTGTGTGTGTGAGAAAGTGCAAATAGCGCTTAATATTATTTCACTCAATTTGGAATATTCTGGTAATTGAGTAAAGCAGAGGCACAGCAGTGTCCAACACCAACTTTATGTTTCACTTCTTTTCGGTGGAGAAGAGTAAAGCAGAAAACAGCTGAGCAGCTGTAACTCGCTGAGTGATCTGGATTTTTCAAGTCTAACACCATGACATACATTTACCTTAGGCTTCAAAACTGATGAATACCAAGCAATAATTCTCTGGAGGAAAGAAATTCTTAGTAACAAGTTATAAAACACACGTGTAAACAAACCACTTAGGGGAAATGTTAATAGATGCATCAACAGCAGCATTAGACCCAAAGGCGACCAAAGTAGAGTTATCAAAAAAGACTACAAACTAGGTCTCTACCCATGGGCACAGAGCAGGGTTTGAGTCTTCTGAGGTTGTGGAGGGCAATTTAAGGAAGGAACCTGATTCTTACCCTTTCTTTGACTTGGATTAAACTCTTTGAGCTCCTCAATTTTTTCTTATAAAATATTATAAAAAGATATGGGCAATAATTTTATTCACCCCAGCCTGTCTCTCTCTTTGGCTCCTTACAAGTAGAAGTCTGCACTCAAAAGCGAGGTTTCTTAACTTGGGATCCATTAACTCCGAGACTGGGAGGTCCACAACTGTGCCTCACGGGATGTGCAAACCCCCTGTGTGGCTGCCCCATGAGCCCTGCTGTGCCCATGTGCCCCCCTGGAGCCTGCCCAGGAAGTGCTGGCTCAACAGGACCTGCTGCAGAGAGGGGAGCAGGCTGCTTGCTTGGCGAAACCTCTCTTCACTAATTGTCCAATCTACTGAAAGCCTAATAAAAGACTAAATGGTGAAACTGATGAATGACCAGTTAGCCAAATTATGGAGTTCACAATAGTTCAGGATTCATGGAATGATTTCAACAGCCCTTGAGGTTTTGTCGTGTGTGCGAAGTTTCTGTTTGCCTACAGCTTTCCCTCAGCCATTGATCCTCAGCTGTTTCTCAACAAACTTCTCAGTCCTGCTTATTTTGATGCCAGATTTGGATGCTGTATGTCTCAGTCATGGATAACTTCTCACCTTCTCAATGTTATGTATGCGAGTGCTCCTGTCTTCTCTCATTTGTGTGTGATTCACTTCTAAATTGGACTGTATGGAATACAGCATAAAACTGTACGTGACTCCCATCTTTTATGCAATTCCTTTATTTATGTTTTAGTAATACTTGATGAAGTTATAATTAATAGAGAGTAAAATGCTCAATTAAAACATGGATGGCTTGCTAAATTTTCACAAGTAAATACACCAGTGCAACCATGACTAACATCAAGATAAAGAACATTTTCATCCTCCCAGAAAACGTCCTCATGCTCCCACCCAATCAACTTATTTTCCAGAGCTAACCACTTTTCCGATTGTTATTGCCATAGTATTGTCTATTCTTGAAATTCATTTAAATGGAAGCATATAGTAAATACTCTTTTATGATTGACTTCTTTGTGTGAAAAGTTAATATTTTGAAATGTACTCGTATTGTGTATATCAGTAGTTTATTCTTCATAATACTGAGCAGTATTCCATTGTTTATCACAATATGTTTCTCCTCTCCTATAGGTGGATAAGTGGGCTACTCCAGTCATCAACTATTGTGAATAAAGCTGTTCTGAAGGTTCTTGTACAGGTCTTTGTGGATAAATACATACATTTCGCTTGGGTATATACATAAGAGTAGAATCACTGATTCATAGGGAAAATGTATGTTTGCCTTTATTAAAAACCAGTGAACAGTTTTCCTAAGTGGCTGCATCAATTTACAACACCAAGGGATGAGAGTTCCCCTGGCTCTACCTGCTCACCATCAGCTGTGTCTCTGTCTTTATACTGTTAGCCATTCTATCGAGTGTATAGTGGTATCTCATTTGCATTTCACTGATGAGTAATGATTTTTACTTTTTTCATTTGCTTTTTGGCCATTCCTATCTTCCTATCTTCTTTTGTAAAGTGTCTGCTTTTCAATTCTTCTATTTTTAAAAATTGAGTTGTCTTTATATTATTGATATGTGGGAGATATTTTTCTATTCTAGATTCCATTAAATATACTGAGTCTATCTTCTCCCAGAGTGGCTTGCCTTTTCACTTTCTTAATGTTGCCTTTTGGTGAACTGGGGTTTTAAGTGTTTAAAAGTCTAATTTACGATTTTTCCTTTCACATGTAGTGCCCTTGCATCCTGTCTAAGGCTTGTTTGCCCACCCTAAAGTTGTGAGTCTTTCATATTTCTTGCTCTGCTGCTCCACAGTAGTAACATCATTCTTTGTTCTTTGTCATTAGCTGAAAATGCTCCCCCACCCACATCACAAATGAACCATCCCACGATCTGCCCACAGCTTCTTATCCTCCCACACCTGCTTTTGACATTATTGGGATCTCCTGTCCATTGGTAACTATTCTTTCTTCCTGTTCCTTGGGGTCATTCCGTATCTTCATTACCTTACGCTAGAGTAGATTCGATGATGTTACATTCTTCCAATCCTATCTTGCAGATAGTCCTCCTTCTTTTACCGTGATCTTCTGAGGTTGCCCTTACATTACAGAAATCCCAACCAGAGTGGATGCATTGGTCTCTTTTATTCACGGCAGCAGCTGAGCTCTGGCAGAATAAGTCACACACCTGCACAAACTGGTATCAGAACAAATCAAGAGCCACTAACCTTACCTGCCTTTAAGGCCCTGCTTTGAGATTCTAGCATGGCTCTCCTGTTAGCTCACTCTCTCTCTGCAAATATTATTTCAAATATTTAAAACTTTTCTCACTCTCCTTAAAAATTTGCCCACTTCTTCCCTTCTTGCCTCTTAAACCAAAGGTGATCCCTGGAGCCAAGGTAAGTGCCCAGGGAGGGGCACAACTGCTGGGGATCCGAGGGAGGGTCCTGAAGAGGGATGTGCAGGGAGCACCGCGGGGTCCACTATATATATGAATAAATCCCCCTGCTGTAGATGTCCCAAGGTAGGAGTAGGTGAGGACAGACCGTCATTCTTCCCTGGAGCCTCTGTAGATTCCATGTCCCCAAGTTACACTGTTTATTTTCACATTGCATATTTCTCTATGCTTCTGCTGACCACTCAGCGATGCTAATTGCAGAATGTTAGAACTTTTGTTACTACAAATTGCAGAATGTTAGGACATTTGTTACTTTCTTTTTAGAGCAAAATACGTTCTCCAAGCCTCCTTTTTCCCTTGCTTTGTCCATTAGTCAGGGTCGTGGCAGAGTTGAGGAGGGCCAGTGAAGGGACTATCCACAAAGGTGAGGCAGGGCCAAAGGAAACCAGTCAGGAAAGGAGAACATCCTTCTAGCAGAAGTGGGTGGCTCTTACTCCCATTGTCCTGAAGGAAGGAGGAGAGGTGTGGATCCCTTGGCAGTGGGGCGCTGTGGCTTAGGGAGAGGGCAGCCTGCCAGGTGCCCTGGCCTGGGGAGGACAAAGCAGCTACTATGAAATGTGTCTAGCAAGAAGGGAGCCCAGGGACAGATATTGCAGACCAGGACAGTTGGTGACCCTGCCTCCCTTTACTCTCCTGCCATTATCTCCCATATGCAAAACTCAAGTGCCAGGTGGAGGAGAAAGGAGCCCAATTAATATAATCCATAGAGCATGGATCTGAAGGGATCAACATAAACTGTCCAGAACGCTACTCCGAGGATGGGCTTGAGGGGATAAATCCCAAATTGGCAAGGTCTGTGCTGTAAGCCAATAAAGTCCGAGAATGGTTTCTGGGCATCTTTACTCCTAGTAATATATCGACAACGCAAGCCGCCTTTGGACTCGATCAGAGGGACTAAACATTGGTGACTCTACATCACTGGTCACTCAGGGCAGGGGCTGGGAACAATGCCTGGGGAAAGAAAATATAAAATCAAAGCTTGGTTTGGCCCCAGCATCAGAGAGATGACTGAAGACACACAGGCAGAGTGGGAACAGAAGATTTACTCACAGACCCCTTACCCTCATCTGTTGCGCTGGCGGGTGAGTTGCAGCACAGAGCACTGCAGGCAGAAGATGGGGTGAGGAGGGCGAGAGGGAGACAGGGCATCCTTACAGGCAGGTACAGCAGAGGAGCCCTTGCCTCAGGGAAAAACCAACAGAGCTGTGTGGGGAGAGACCTTGCCCTAAGCCAGCCCTCCTGCCTGCAGAAGGGGCGGGGAATCCCATATGTAGGGCAGCATGGAGCACTGGACCTCAAGAAGCTACAGGGTGATGACAACAGGGTGGGGCCATCATAGAATAATCCTCCAATCAGGAAAAGAGAAGCCAAGAACTCAGCTCTTATCCAAGACCAGAACCCTGAGCTCAAGAGGCGCAGTGCTGCCCACCCCAGCGGTGCCATGGGCTCCAGGCTCCTCTGCTGGGCAATACTTTGTCTTTGGGAGCAGGTGAGTCCTGTGGACAAGGAGCTCACTGCTCTTCTAAGCTTTACCTTGCAGATAAACCATAAAGCTTTCTCCCATGCTCATTTTATATCTGCTTTTCCCACAGGGCCAGGGGATGCTAGAGTCACTCAAACTCCAAGACACCTGATCAGAACAGGACAGACAGTGACACTGAGATGTTCTCCCATCTCTGAGCACCCCGGTGTATCTTGGTACCAACAGTCCCTGAGTCAGGGCCCCCAGCTCCTCTTTCAGTTTTATGAAAATGTGCAAAAATCAGAAGGAGATGCCCCGGATTGATTCTCAGCACAGCAATTCCGTGACTATTGCTCGGAGCTGAACATGAGCGTCTTGGAGCTCACGGACTCGGCCCTGTGTCT